CGGGAGCAGGGAGCAGCCGAGAGAAGATAAGAAGGAAAAAAAGGAAAAAAAAAAACCCTACCCTTGCGCTTTGCATGCCCTGGCGCATTTCACAGCGCACACCGCGCATCGGCCGCCTCCCGCCCGTCCCCCCGGGGCGCTCCGCGGCCGCGCAGAGCCGCCGGCAGCCGCGGAGCCTGCGCCGCTCGCATCCCGGCGGCGCGCAATGCCCGCGGCCGCCCTTGCCTCCAGCACGGCTTCAGGCACTGCGGCTGGGGGTGTGCTCCGTCTCCCGGGGCCGAAGGAGGGGACGGCGGATGCCCCCTTCCCGCGGCCGGGGCCGCCCCCCAGAATCGCGATCGGGCCGGACGTAGAGACGCGCGGTCCCGCGGGTGTCCGTGCGCATCCCCGGCGCTTCTGCTCCCGGCTGCGGGTCTCCGCTTGGCGGGGAGGACAGGACCGCCTGCCTGAGGTCGCCTTCTGAGCAGCTTCAAAATTAGAAATATTTAAATATATATGTGTAGCTTTAAACATGTATTTAACATTTTATGCATTTTGCCCATTTATATTTGCATGTATCTGTATATTTGTAAGGTCTATTTCATTTACCTACTTGAAGAAAAATACCAAATCAATGCCACCCTTTCTCCCAGGCATGTTTCCCTTCTAGTAAAGGAGGCTCCACCTCTGCTAGGGATTGATTCGTCCAGCAGTTTTAGGATAATTTATGAAGCAACCTGATGAGCCTATTGGGCGAGTTGCTCGGTCCTTGCAGAGTGGGTTTCTACCTGTTTGGGTGTTTTATTTTTTTCCCCCTTCCCCTCCCCTCCTCTCCCTCTCCCTGCCGTGTGCCGGGGGGTGGTGGTATCGGTAGGGTCGCAATTTCCCAGCCTCTCCGGAGAAAACTCGGGCAAGGGAGAGCGCCTTGAACGCCCATGGATGCCTGGGGGGGCTCCGCGCCCCGCTGGATCCGCCGCCGCGGGGCCCGGCTGCTGCTGCTGCTGCTGACCGTGCGCCTGGGCAGCGGGTGAGTACGGCGGGGCCCCGCCTGCCCGCCGGGACGCGGCACCTGCGAATCGCGCCCCAGGCTGAGCTCGGGGCTCCGGGCGGGGGCAGGGGCAGGGGCAGGGGCAGGAGAGGCGGCCGTGTTGCGCCGCTAAACTTCAACCCAAAAAGGTGTCGGTGCCGCCGCTGTGGCTCCCACGCGCGGCTGCGGCGGGAGCCGGCGCCGGCAAAGTAAAACTTCAGCCGCATCCCACTTGTTCGCTGGGCGGGTTGGTGAGCCCAGTGCTGGGGAAAGTCCCCCATGCCGAGGGCGGCCCGGCAGCCAGCTCCCCGCGCGGCTGCGGGAGAGGGGCAGGAGCGCGGCTGGCTCCTGCCGCTGCCGCAGCTGCTGGAGCGGGGCACCCACCGCGGCAGCGGGACCCGTGCGGGGCTAACGCACGGCACCAGCGCCTGCCGCTGCAGCGCTCCGCTGAGGGACCGGGCTCACGCGTGGGATGGGGCAGGGCAGCTGCTCAAGTCCCAGAAGTTGGAAACGTGCGTTTTAAGGGGGAGTTAGAAAATTGAGCTGCAGACCTCTGAAGAAACAGCAGTTTGGCACAGCTGTGTGCATGTGTTATTAGTGCCCATAACAACGAAAAGCAATGTGATAATTCATTAATTCCACTAATGATGCAGAGCTAATGTGAACCATTCCACAGGTTATGCTCAGAAAAATCACAAAGCAGCACTTCAGGTATAAATAAAGGGTATTTGACTGTTGCTCAATGTGTTTCTTTTAAACGAAAGACGAAGTTATCATTCTAGAAGATATAAAAATGTGTAGTGTAAAGGTTGGCAAAAAAAAAAAAAAAAAAAAAAAAAAAAAAAAAGGAGAAAAAAAAAAAAAAAAAAAAAAAAGAAAAGAAAGGGAAAGGGAAAGGGAAAGAAAAATCTATTAAACACTTTTAAAGTCCATCATACTCCAGACCCCTTCCCCACACTGAATGTGTGACGTATGTTGATATCATCACATCTACAAACTTCAGAAAGCTGATGTGTTATCCTAGTTAAAAAAGCCACTGATTATACTTTTCTTAACCTGTGTCTTTTAAAACCTTGATAAATTATGGAAATGTTTTTCAAAGGCATTGATGAAAATTATATCAGTGCAGCTGTGCATCTTCAGAATGTTTCTTAATGATCATAGTGTACCTCAGGTGTGAAAGAAATTATCAAGTGGTTTGAGAGAAAAGAACATGCATGCTAATTTATCAGTTCAAAGACATAGTTACAAAGGAGAACTAGCTAAAAAAATACTTCATTGTGCTTTGCAAATCAGACTATGGTTGGGACTATAAAACTAGGTGTAGATTACTATGGATGCATCTCATTAATATTATCATTTATAAAGAAGTTGATAAGTGAGAAAAAGAGGTAACTTACATGCATTGTTTTGTTCTGTGTTCCAGGACATCTCAGATAAAAGGGAACCTTTGGTATGAATATCCATGTGTCTGAATCAACTCTTTTCAGCCTTGACTTTTTTTTCAGAGGCTACAAGGTGTTTGAAAGATTTACCCCCTCTCCTTTTATTTTTCCCTTTTAAGTGACCTCAAATGGACTTGTGTTGCAGATCATGATTCTCTGGTATGTAGTGCATTGCAATTCATGGGTGTTTGCGGGGATCTTAGGACCTCTGGCACTCTTTAAGGTCTGCTACAAAGCAGGATGGAAATACTACTTTTTTTCTTCTTTGGATGCCTCTCTATAGTTTCAGCCCAAGATTTTCCTTGAAGCTCAAACTAAAACACAGTAGTAATGCTTTTTCTCAAGAGTAGACCAGGCTGCACCAACTCCGCCAGTTTTTCTAAAACTATGTTGCAGGAGCCAGTCTGCCTTTTCAGCACATATTTTTAAAAGGATGCAAATTGCATCAGTTTTAGTATGCATGTATACACAAAATACTTTGTGCTGAGTATGAATAAAGTGGCTTCAGTTGTAACAAATGGAGCTAAAGCCTAAGCAAGGGCACTGGAAGTTGAGCCCAACCAAGAGTTTATTCTTTTAAGAAACTGCCCCAAAAGCTGTTCCATTACGTTACACCAAACTTCCCACACCAAAGTGTGGGAGCTCTTTCCCATAAAGCCATTGTTTACTTCTAGTTCCTAACCTTCAGTGCTAACAATCAGAATGGCCAATGCACTTGATTTCATTTAATGGGTTAGTATTTTGAAGGACTACTTTTGTAAATCGCAGATATCTCTTCTGTAGCAGAAATTGGGCTGTGAGCCTTTCTACAAGATGTGTGCCTGGAAAGAGTACTTACCCAGCAGTCACTGCAGTCCTAAATGTTTGGCAAACCCATTATTCTTGTTGAATTCAAACAAACAGATAATTGATAGGCAGAGCATAAGAACTGACAATATAATTAATGTTATTTTCTTAGTTCCACCTGTACAGGTGCACCATAACTGTAACATTTCTTCTAATTTATACTTCTTTAAATGGTATGTGCTGGTTAACATGCCTAAAAGTATGCTTTAAGCTTAACTTAATTTTGGCCATATCTTCCCTTTCGTTTTGTAATCTGATGTTTTAAAAGCAATTATAAATGCTCTATTGAAATGCAACTGTCAGCAGGTACAAATGTCAACTGATATTTTCTTTTCAAAGTATCTGTTAGGAAAATATATAATACAGCCTACATTTTCTTCTTATATAAATTCCTGGATCAGAGTTAAGCCTGTCATAACAATGTTGGTTTCTTAGTGCTTGATAATAGTGATTTACTGTTTCATTTGAACATCTGTGATGTTTGTTCATTATTATCCTCACTCTTACGTGCTTTGTTCATGATGTGATAACAAAGAACTTGTTATTCAGCAGTCCCAGTGGTTTAAAAGACAGTTTATTTTATTGAAAGTTTGTTAATATTTTCTTTTATTGTTATAAAGTTTAAAGAGACCTAAATATTGAGAAATAGTTATCTTCTTTGCACATAATCTTCTTACAGCAGTTTCAAGGAAACCTTCAAACTATGTCAATCTGTTAAATAAAGAAAAGGCTCTCAGAAAATTGAAACAAATTTTCATTTACTTTTAACTTTCTGTTTTTTAAATATGCCTGATGTTTAAAAAAGCACCTTTTCTGCAAATTCAAGTCTTTTTGTGCTGGACAGAAGAATTTACAGATAAGCACTTGTTGAGCTTGTTCACTTTCTTTTTCTGAGTACAGGAGTCTGTCTACAGAGTATATTACAAGGGGATCAGGAGGTCCCCTTGTAATATACTTGAAGCTCTGGACAAATTGTATTAATCTGGGTCAAACAGAACACCTAGTATGTAGACCCACTTAAATGGACTAGGTTTATGCACTGTTTGAAACAGAGTTGCTTTGGTTTGGGCTATCATATATATATAAACTAAAACAGACATATGTGTTGAATTCACAGAAAACCAAAAGTGATTATCCCAAACCCCATTTTTGTAGCACTATTTATGATAGAAGCGAGTAGCACTTTTGAATTACTCCTTGCACTGCATCCTAAATTGATCATGTGCACAAGTAAAATAACGATATCGTAACTTATTTGGTAAAGAGCAGCAGAGACAAGTAGTAATTATAAATGACTATAACACATTGACAGGAACCTTTCAAAGGCTGGTGGATGACAATGACACTAACTTTTATTTCTTAACAATTTCTCTGAATAGTAATAATTTGTACAGAGTAATTGACACAGAAGTCCTGATTTTGCATTTTTACACACGCAAACATTATTTAAGACTGAAAATACTGTGTTTAGTGGCCTACAAGCCTATGTAAAAAATTCATTCTATATGTATATAAACCTAAGGTGGTAAATCATGGAGCAACACTGAACTAATAGAGGTAACTAGAGAGACTAGGGAGATCATCAGGAGTTCATCAGAACAGAATTTATTTCAAAGAAGAGGGCAATTTCAGTGATATGGATATGATGGAAATAAATAGTTTCTAAAATATGCTTTAATTGGGGATTTTCCAGTCAGTAGGATCTGTTGAGATAATCTGGTTTTATATAAGAATACATAAGAGGCTAAAGAAAACTGGAGAATTTACCCTGGCATCACTATGAGGTTTGCTTCTTCAGTTTAACTTAGTCCCTGCATACAGACTTGATAAGGAGGAATTGGATGAAATATTATACAGTATTTCTAGTCTGAGGTTTCTCTGCTTCCAGCCAGTGGATCTCCTGTTCCCAGTGTAACCTGCTACATCTGTTTCAGCCACTGGATTCCCATGTCCATCTCTTTGTGGGGAAATCCCTGTCTTCTTTTATACTTCTGGTTCTGCAGGGTAGCCTCAAGGTATGGATCAGTGGCTGCAGCTGCTCTTCAGGAGCAGAATGTGGTCTACTTCCATCTGCTCTTCAACAAGATAACAGTCATAAAAACCTTTTTTTTGTTCTGATTGCCTCTGCCAAGTTTTGCTCTGAGAAGGACTCAGAGCATCTCAAGTGAATCCTGAAAATTCTTAGAGGAATCAACATTTTGGTCAGAAAACATCCTGGTGCCTTTCTCTTTCCAGCCTAGTCTTCCATAATATGTTGTAGAAACCTCCTCACCTCTGGGTGACAGGAAGCTCCAGTGGGGTTGGATTCCAAGCAGTTGCTGCAGGATGAATGATCTAGTCCAAAATGAGTTTTATACAAATATGTCACAATTTGAGACACTCTATGCAGAGTGAAAATTTCCACTGGATTTGGTTTACTCATGCTGCAGTCATACAAACTAATTGTCAAAGCACATCCTGGTATATATAGTTTAAGAAAAAACTTGATAATCACTGCTTACAGTCTCCTCTCACATAAGTAAACTGAGATACCTACATTTCTTCAGAAAATATTTAATGATTTTCTTAACCACTTCTAAGCACTTTCCATTTTCTTTTCTTAAGAAGAGATACACACAGAATATTGCTTCACTACTACTTCATACTGCTCAGATACTCTCTCACAGGATTAGCTCCAATCCTGTTCAGGTGTAACTCATGTTCTTTTTG